AATCAATATAGAGAAAAATGAATTAGAGCATTTGGGATTAACTTACAGAAGAAGTATTTATCTCTTGAAAAACTAGATGTTAGGAGTTGTCAGGAGCAAGAAAATTGATCCGATCCATTAGGGGATTGATTGGGTCATGAATTGTTTTCAACTTTTTACCATTGCAAGCTAGGGGATTAATCTATTTTCATAGGGGATTGATCCGTTCATGCTGATTTTCAATTCGGGTAATTCTAGATGAATAATGCAATTGGTTGCCTTAAATTAAATCTTGTTTTGCACTCTACTTATTAATTTGATCATATCTTGAGTTATAAAACTCCAAAAAAAAATCTGTTTAAGGCATTTTTATACATGTAAAATTCAATATCTGATTCAATGTATAAAAATTATAATAAATTTTTAAAACTACTTCGTGTGCAATTGTTAGATAGCATAGTTTTTCATAAAAATTCAAAATTTTTTCTTAGAAAATTTTTATTTTTATTTTGTTTGATCCATTAGAAAGTAAATTAAAAAAGATTTCCAACCATGTAAAATTGAAATATGAAAACTTTGTAAATCAATACAGAAAAAAAAGAAAACAAATGAAATTTTGAAAAAACCTTATTCTTACAAAAATCTTTTTCTAGATAATTCATTTCTCAAAATCAATATTATAAAAAATTATATTTAGTCCAAGATGTATAAATTCACTTCAAAAACAACAATTGATCTTTTATTTAAACTCGAATAAATAACCTTTAAAGATAATTTTGGTTAAAAAAATATTTGTTTAAACTTTAAGAAACATTTTATAAATAATTATCAATCTTGAAAATTTATATTTTTGATATAAACATTAAGAGCAACCTTTTAAAATATTTCCCTGAGATATTTTTCAATTTAAATAATAATTTTGAAAGTAATAGAATTTATATAGTACCAACATAATATATATTAGGAACAAGGCATTAAATAAACCTCTTTCAAAATCTAAAACCCTTTTCAAAAATATTCTTCATTTCAAATATTACTTTGAAAAACATATGATTTATTTAGCAGCAAAAATAATGTAATTTAAGAACATGTACTAAATAAGTGTTTTTCAAAGTCTTGATCAAGCTTATTTAGCTTAATGTTTTGTCATTTCAAAATAATGATCAATTTAAAACTAACAGATATAATTAGATACTCATTAAGTTTGGAAATGGATGTTTCTCTCTATTTAAACATAATCATTTTATTGGTTCCAGTGTTTTTTGAGATGATTTATACAAATTAAAACTTGATAACCTTTTTGTGGAAACTATATTGATTTTCCATCATAATGTCAATAGTAAATGTTGTTTAGTGGATGAAAGTTCAACTTACTTATGGCATAAACATTTGCATCATATATCTAAAGAAAGAATACAAAGAATGATAAAGACTGAAATCCTTCATAATTTAGATTTTACAAATTATGGTATTTGTGTGGATTATATTAAGAGAAAACACATAATTAAGAGATTAGCCATAAGAAGCACAAAAATCCTTGAGATTATACATATTGATATGTGTGAATCTTTTAATGTTTCATCTTTTGGTGGGAGAAAAGTATTTTATCACTTTTATTGATGGTTCTTCATGTTATGGCTATGTCCACTTGTTGCATGAAACATTTAACTCGACAAATGTTTTATAGGTATTTGTTAATAAGGTTAAAAGACAATTAGATACTAAAGTGAAAACTATCAGATCTATCTGAATGGTAATATTATGGAAGATATGATGAAAATGGACAATAAATCTATGCTCAATCCATAATGGCAGGTACATCGTAACAAAATAGTATTTCAAATGGCATAACCATACTTTAATGGATATAGTTAGGAGTATGTTAAGTAACTTTTTTTACCTTTATTATTGTGGATGCATGCTTTGAAAATAATCATGTATTTGTTAAACAGAGTTCCTAGCAAGGCAGTTCTAATGATTCCTTTTGAATAGTGGATAGGAAAAAAATCAGTTTAAGGCACCCGCATGTTTAGGGCTATTTGGTAGAAGTAAAAATTTATAATCCACTTAAGAAGAAATTGGATTCAAGAATAACCGATGGTTTCTTCATTGCTTATCCAGAAAAATCTAAAGTGTATAATTTTATTGTCCTAGCCATAGAACAAGAATTATTAAAAACAAAAATCTTTGGTTCATTGAAAATGGTGAAACTAGTGGGAATGTGAAATCATTGGAAGTGAAACTTTAAAAAGTTAGTGTGCAAATTCCTTTACCTATAACTTTTTCTCAAATTGTTGTTCCTACAATTGTTGAATAGCTTAACAACTTATAACAACAACAAATAAATGACCAAACACCCTACACTAATGAACCTCTGTAATGGATAAACCACGTGAAGCAACATTAAAAAGGACTCAAAAGGCTAAAAAGGTATGTTATTTTTTATGAATTTTTTATTTATCTACAAGAGTTAGAATTTGACTTAAGAATTAATGAAAATTCATTTTCATTTTCATTTTCGTAAGCCATGAAAAGTGCTAATTTTACCAAATGGTGTTAAATGCCATGAAAGAAGAGTTGAAATCAACGAATTATAATGATGTTTGGGATCTTGTTGAATTGCTTGAAGGTTGTAAAAGAGTTGGGCATAAATGAGTCTTCAAGATAAAGTGTGAGTTAAATGGCAATGTCAGAGGATACTAGGCTAGACTTGTTGTTAAATGGTTTACTCAAAATGATGGTAATAACCATAAATGACCTTTTTTTCAATTTCTAAAAGGACTCATTTAGAATTATTATGGTCATAGTAGCTCACTATGAGTTAGAGCTACATCAAATGGATGTGAAAACCACTTTTTTAAATGGATATTTAGATGAAAAGTTTATATGGATCAACCTAAAGATTTTTTCCAATTAAAGAAAAGGAACACATGGTGTGTAAATTTACAAAGTCAATGTACAGTCTTACATAAGCTTCTTAACAATGGTATCTTAAGTTTAATGATACTATCACTTCATTTGGATTTATGAAAAACACTATTGATCAGTGTATATATTTAAAAGTCAGTGGGAGCAAGTTTATATTTCTAATCTTGTATGTTGATAATATTTTGCTTGTTACTAATGATTTTAGCTTATTACATAAGACTAAAAAATTTCTGTCAAAGAATTTTGAAATGAAAGATATGGATAAGGCATCCTATGTGATTGGAGTTGAAATATTTTGTGATAGATCACAATGATTGTTAGGGTTGTCTAAAAAAACATATATTAAAAGAATTCTAGAGAGATTTAAAATGGAAAAGTATGAAATAGCTTGTCACTGCTGATCCACTACAAAAGCTGAGTTTGTGACATACTTTGAAGCCATTGTTTATGATTTATAGTTGTGGAATTATATTTCAAGACTTGGAATTGTCGACAGTATTGCTATATCACTAAAAAGTTATTGTGATAATACTACAGCAGTTTTCTTTTCTAAAAATGGCAAGTATTCAAAAGGTGTTAAACATATAAAATTGAAATACTTTGCCATTAAAGAAGTCTAGAAACAAAAAGTGTCAATTGATCATAATACCACCAATCTTATGGTTGCAGATTCGTTAACAAAAAGATTGCTACCAAAGACATTTAATGAAAATGTCGAAAGAATAGGCATTATTGAAAATCATTATTGACTTTATGGTAAAATTTTATGTTTTTTTAAGTATTTGATATTCTGAGCTCTTTTAAATATTGTTTCTAATATATTAATGCAACTTTGTTTCATTATATTAATATATATTCATGATTGGATTATGTGAATATAAACAAGATTTTCTCTAAATAAGACATTATTGTTGAAATGTTATGGTATCTTTTATTACACATTAAGTTAAGTATATAACTAATATTTTGATATATGGAAAGGACTATGTCGAGCTAAAAACACGATATACAATCACTATGATTCTTATTAGATTTTGTTTAATGATAATTTATGATTTCATCAATTTAAGAAATTACTTAACTTTTATTTTACTAATTATGTTTTATTATTAAATAATAAAATTGAATAATTCCATTTAGGCCAAGTAGAAGAATGTTGATTTTAAGTGGCCTATGTGATGTTATATTAAATAATTATATTTTAATTTATTTAAAAGATAATTATAGTTTAATGATGGTTATAAGCTAAAAAAAAACTCTTATTGATCAAAACAAAAAGAGTTTTGCTTATAATTATGAGAAGAATGAATGAATGTAATTAAAATAAAAGAAAATTTTGTTTATAATTCATATGTTGATGAAACGTATGATCGAATATTGTTAAAAATGAAAGAAAAATTGTTTCACTCTTTATGCCTATAAATTTATTTGTTCTATCCATCAAGAATGTATGTAAAGAAAAAAGAAATCAAAAGAGAAAAATTAATCTTAATAAAATTTCATTTAAAAAAATTTATAATGGATTAAGGTATCATTTTTCTCTAATTAAAAAATTGTGAAATCATTTTGTTCTAAGAGTTTGGACATTAATTAGAATTTGATCTAGATAATTAATAAAACTATCACAAAAAATATTTTAATAAATATGAGGTCAATAATATAAAATAGAAAAAGGATAAACTTTAATTCTAGAGGCTAAAATATTATTAAAATTTAATATTTCAGAACCGAAAAAATGATAGTATCATCAAAATAAAATGTTCGGTGGCTAAAAACAAAAACATTCAAATAGATGATTGTTCAGCCAAAAACTGCTCGTGAGTCGGGAGATGGAGCTCGTACATGGGTTAAGTTTGCGGGCCCAAGCTCCTGCATGAAAATGCAGAGGGCATGCCTAACTGGGTTGGGCTCCGGATAAATTTTGTGCAAACCATATTTATTAAAAACAGTGTATATATATATATCAATATTCGGACGCTTACGTGCCGAAAACGAGAATATTCTGAAACCCGTTCGCACTCGCCAGCGTGTATAATATATGGATAATTTTTATCAAAAGCAGACATGTATCTAGCGTTAATAATGCGTTATCCACAATATCGATATTGAAACACCAACCACTTAAACGAGCCGAGTAGGCCCAGCGTGATCTCCAAAACATTAACAGAGCCAGAAAAATTAAAACAGAAGAAAATATAAAAATATAATTAATTAAGAGGGAGAAATGGAGCAATCCGCATAGTTATGGCGTCGTGCGTGCTATCGACCACTTTGGTAACACCTCCCACTACACTTGACAAATCCCGAATTAAGCCCTCAACGAACTCTGAAAAACTGTCTCTCTGCTCATCGTCATCGTTTTTTAAGGTTGGAGTTAGAAAAAGGAAGGTAAAGTGCAAGGCCGTTAGCGAAAGCTCCCAGGGGTCCGTTGATCGATCTGTTTATCAAGGCGCTTTTGGCCCCTGGACCGTTGATCCTAAAGACGTCCGCGAGGTAATGAATTTTAATTTCATGCCCTTTTGCCGTATCTCCTCGGGTTTCAAGAGGAAAATCAATTTGATGAATCCTTCGAAACATGCATATGTATCTTGGCAGGTTGTTTTATACAGATCAGGATTAGTGACTGCTGCTTCATCGTTTGTAATTGCCGCATCAGCTGCATTTTTACCTGACAACTTTGCATTTAAAGAAATTATTGAGCAAAATCTTAATTTGTTTTACTTGATTGCTGCTGGTGGACTGGGCCTATCCTTATATTTGATTCACATCTATGTAACTGAGATTAAACGTACCCTTCAAGCATTATGGGCACTTGGAGTGGTTGGGTCATTGGCAACCTATGTGACCCTTGCTCAACCTGCTGGGGAGAACTTGGTGCAGTATGTTCTCGATAACCCAACGGCTGTCTGGTTTATTGGCCCTCTTTTTGCTTCATTGACAGGACTTGTTTTCAAAGAAGGTAATGTCATTGTCAAGCGGAAGCCCCATTCATTTAACCTTTAGCCTTTAGTATATAAGTTGTACGTTCCAACTTCATACCTCCATTACATTGTCTAATGCCATATAGTTGTGAATTGATATAGTTTTATCCAGTCATTTAATTATGATTAGTTTTAATTTGCTAAACAGGCCTCTGCTATGGGAAGTTGGAAGCTGGTATTCTAACATTCATTATACCCACAGTGCTTCTTGGGCACCTGGTATTTACTTTTGCTTTATTTGTTTGGTCTCGGTGTCATTGTGTTGATTTATACTGATCATCAAACTGTTGAACTTCTTAAGTATTATAGCTTTTGAGCTCTGGTCTATGTATGATGAGCTTTTACTTGAAAAGCAGACTGGTTTGATGGATGATGGAGTGAAACTTACTTTATTGGGTTCCTGGATGGCTCTCTTTGTTATATTTGCTGGAAGGAAGTTTACTCAGCCCATTAAGGTACCTTATTACTTGGATCAGATATTACTGTTCAGACATATCCATGCTGATTAACTTTTGTTGTATGAAGAAACAAATATCATTATTCTGATGCTCTCTTGTTCACTTTCAAGGATGATATCGGTGACAAATCTGTCTTCATGTTCAATTCTCTACCCGAGGATGCAAAGAAAGCTTTGATTGAGAAACTTGAGCAACGGAAAGTACAGTCAGAGAGCCAAGAAGATACACTTCAATAAGAGGTCTGTTAATTAAAATGGGGAAAAATTTTTGAGGTAGTTAATTTTGTTAGTGTGCTCTGAATGTTGTCTGTGATGTTTCTTTAGTTAGCTTAAGACTTAAATATAGCATGAAAACTTTTCAGCCTCCAGATTGTTGGTGTCTTCACTTCATCTTGAGAATAAATGTGTAAAAATATTTGGTTTTTTCTTTTCTGGGTAGATGATAAAAATATTTATTACTGTAAATAATATAACCAAATACATTTACCCTTTAAAGACATCTATAGAGTTGTAGAATTTTAATCTTAGAGGATATGATCTCTTTTATTAATGTAGTTTGACAGTTATTCATCCTTTTTCCATGTGAATAACATGATGTTATGGTCATTGAAGAGGATGTGTAGTTTGACAGTTGCCATCTGCTGATAGTTTGATAATAGTTTCATAATGATTTTGACTAAATAGTTACCTTCCAAACTACAAACAAGAAACAAGAAACCATCTCCCACATATACAAATGAAGAAGAAAACCATTAACTTGTTACGAAAATAGTGAAGCATGCTTGAGATTTTACCCTAATATCTCCTTTTGTTTTGATTTATTTAATTTATTTAATTTTGCTGACTGAAAAATATTGGCATTCAATGGTGTACACTGTTACTTCCAAACAACTCAAGGAAAATTTACACTCTGCTGCATTAGTTTGCAGTCCTTTGTTTTCATCCACTTCAGATTTAACAGAACCACCTTCAATCTTACCTTTTTCAACATCAGACCGCTCAAGCATTGGCCTTGACAAGATGACTTACCGTTATGAGCACTCACTTTCTTAAAATTGTGTGTTTCTGGGGGTTTAGCTTCCATATCAGATTTCAGACTGTAATGTTCGGCTTCCTCCAAAAGTTGACTATTTGCACTAAACATTTCAGCATCTATCATCCGCAGCTACATCTGTTTCTCAATGCCTGCTGTAAACTTCTTTACTGGACTCATCAGACTTTTCCTCTCATACATTTCTGTGTCTTAGTGACTCTATCACAATCATTAGTTCCCTGTTAACCTGCCATGAGACCAGATGTCATCAAGGGAAATTTATGGCTGCAATTTATTATTGGCATTTCATTTTGATCGTAGTGGAACAAAATTAGCATTTTTCAGTGTGTTTTTGTATTGCACTACTCAATTCAATTAGATCCATTCACCACACTTCTTAAATAAATGTTATAAATTTTTAAAATAAAAAAGTTATGAAGATAGCATACTTTCAGCATAGATGAAATTCACTTGTTATGCATGCTGTGGTTTCTAGTATATCAAGAGTACCTGACACAGCCTCTAGTACCTGAGGATTACGAAGAAATTCAGCTATATCATTTGAACGTAAAGGTAGAAATTCAGCTATATCATTTGAACAGAAAGGGCGTTTATGTTAGTATATCCCTTAGAGCCAATAGAATTGGATCAAGGGAACACCATTATTTATGTGTCAAATTTACTTATAAATAAGTTAACAGGGGGTTTCCTTCATCAAAGAGTATTATCAAATACACATTGGATGAAGTCCAAGGAATTATAAAATGTTATAATTATGAGATACTTAGGCCTCGAATATCATTTTTAAATATAGTTCTTGGGCGATACATTGTTGAGATTGGACATCGACAAAATACAAAGTTCAGCACAAATTATGTTTTTAACTTCATGAAATAAGCAAAACTAGTCTCATAGATTGAGAAATGGTGGTATTTGCATGTCGGGTTTTGTTAGATGAACAAGTTTTATGAATAAGGTCAGTTATGAGAATTCCATTTAGTACTTCATTCAAATGTCTATGAAAATTATCTCATGTGTAAGTTTTTTAACTGATTCTCAAAATACACAATTATTTGTAGTATTAGAATATTTGAATAAGCAAGTTGTCATTTTTCAATATATATGAGAAAAAATATACTTAAATAAGTGTAAAATTAAAAACTGTTAGTTTTGAATCGATCTTTATTTTGAAATGACAAAATATTAAGTTAGATAAATTTGATTAAAATCTTGAAAAAGACTTATTTAGTACATGCTCTTAAATTATATTGTTTTTAATACTAAATAAATATTAGTAATATTTGAAATAAAAAATATTTTGGAAAATTGTTTTAAATTTTGAAAAGATTTATTTAGTATATAATTCCTATGATTTATTATTCTTTGTACTAAATAAATATTAGATCTTCCAAAATAGTATTTGATTTTAAAATTGTTTTTTTATAAAGCTTAAAACCTTTCTTCATGTTTTTGTATTCTTCAAACCAAAACTATCTTTATTTGAGTTTAAATAAAAGTTTAATTATTGTCTTTTTAAAGTGAACTTAATTCATCTTGGGCTCAATACAATTTTGATAATATTAGTTTTGAGAAATGAATTAACTTGAGAAAGTTATTATGTAAGAACAAAATTTTCTAATATTAAAATTGTTTTATTTGTATTAATTTATGAAGTTTTAATATTTGAATTTTATATTGATGAGAAACTCTTTAAGTTTACTTTCTAATAGAATAAACAAAATCAAAATTTAAATTTTCTAAAGAAAAAGTTTTGAATTTTTACTAAAGATTATGTAATTGTTTAACAACTACACTAGGCGTAGTTTTAGGAACTCATTATAATTTTATACATTGAATTAGATGATAAATTTTATATGGATAAAAAATTCCTCAAATTTAGTTTATAAATCTTCAAATGTATTTTTATTTAAAGTTGTATAACTTAAGATATAATCAAATTAATGAGTAAAGTACAAAATAAGAGTTAGTTTAAAATGACCAAAGGCAATGTTCATCTAGAACCACCCCGTCTGCAAAACTAGCTTGACCCAATCGATCCTCTATCAAAATGGATTGATTTATTGTCCTATAATTTGAATGAAATTCAAGAACAAATCATTCTCCAATGGGACCTGATCATTTTTATTGCTGCTTAACAGCTTTTTAATGGTTATTATGAAAAGAGAAAAATATGCATTTTCATTTTCTAATCTCTTCAAATGACTACAAACTTATTTCCTCTATAAATTAAACATTCCAATGCATTTGTGAAGCAAGAGAGTAAGCACCAATAAGCATTATATTTATTCTCTTAAGAGTTTAAGAACATTCTAAAGATTAAAACATTAATTTTTTTCATTTTTGTATCCAAATTATATTTATTCTTCATTTATCATTCTTTATACTTAAATTAGGCAAATATTTAACCTTGAAGAGGTATTTCATAGTTTGCAAATTCCTTTTGTCCTATTGAGTGAAATTGATAGGATTCAATAGAATTGTAGAAAGGATAGAGATTGCTTTTCATGACCTTAAAAGATAGAGATTGTATTTTGTAAGAGATTTTTCAATTATTGCATTGCGCATGGCTAAAAGAGTTAAGAAAGAGAACATAAATGTATTTGGAAAAGGACCAAATTTTTATAAATTTTTGTATTTGATTTTTTTATTTTTACTCTTTTATTTTCATTGTTATTTATGTGTTTTAAATTTTTTATTATTGTTAATCTCATCAAATTTTCATAAAAAAATTTTATTATTTTAAATTTTTTATTCAAATTTATTGAAAATCAATTTTAAAAAATTTAAGATAATCCAATTCACCCATTTTTAGATTGTTATCTACACTTGAGTTAACAAAAAATTATATATATATTTTAACTATTGATCTTAATAGATCTAAAAGATGATATAGACAAGTAAAAAAGAGAAATTTTATTTAATTCATCTTTTTAATATATTAAAATCCATAGTTAAAAAAGGTGTAAAACTTTTTTTGTATGATTTGATCTCATTGATTTTAATAAATCCAAGGATAAGAAAAACAAGTACAAATAAGAAAAAAAGTTTAATCTCATTCCTTATATTTTTAAAATTAATGATTAAAAAAATATGTAAAATTAAAAAAAACTTATACGTTGATCTCTGTTTGTGTGGGTATATATATATATATATGGCCAACGTGCAATTTTTCTATATCAATAAATGATTATTAGATGATATGATGGTAGAATTAGGGGCTATAATTATATACAACTAAAACAAAACATTGTAAAGCTTAAGTTTGATTTAAGTTCAAATTTGATCTGAATTTTTTTTTTGATTCGTGCTCAACTTAAGATAAAAATTAAATTGTTTGAGTTTATTCAATTAAGTTCGTAACTTAATATAAATTTACAAATTTCATTACTATGCTTTACTTGAGCTCAATCTTGAATTGAGAATATTAGAAATTTTTTTCTTAAAATTAAAATGAGAATAAAGCTATAAATAAATAATCAAAATATTATTTATATAATATTAATAATATTATAAAATATTAAAAAGAAACTTGAATAAGCTTAATAAGTACTTGAGTCAAGCAAATTTAAATTTAATTTATTCAATTAGATAATAATTGAGTTAAGTTCAAGTAATTTTCAAATAATTTACGAGTATATAAGTTTATTTGCACACTAACAGGCATGTTTGTGAAACTACACTTGACGAGTACAAAATTATCAAATCTAAAAAATATACTTATTTAAAGATTGACTTATCATCCTGACCCATGTGTTTGGTCCGATTTGATTCTGAACAAAATTTTTGAAGTTGCCCAATCAAAGATAAAATCTAATTAATAAAAATATTTTTTATTTAATTTTTTTAAAGATATTAAATATTAGTATTTTAATATATATTTTAAAAAGTTTTTGACCTGTTAGCCTCAACAAACCGAACCTAATAAATATTAACAAAAATTTTTAAAACTAATTATATATGATTCCACTCAACTCATGGATAAAATTTAATTTGTTTTTTTTTTAAATAATTTTTATATTTTTTTTGTGTTTGTTTAATAAAAAATTTACTCATCATCAGAGAATAACTTATTAATTAACGAAAAATGAAATTATTTTTTTAAAATTGTTTACAATTTCTATAAATAGCTTTCTATGGATAAAATTATTCGTCAAAATGATAAATATAGTTATACTTATAATGATTATAGATATTATTTTTTTAAACTCAAACTTAATTTGACTTGACTTAAAATATTATTATATTAATATAAAATATTTTATTTAATTTTACTGAAAATTTAAAATATTAATATTAAAAGTCTTCTTATATTTTAATTTTAAATATTTTATATTCTCAAGCCAAGTTTTAAATATGATATTTTAAACTTAAATTTAATTTGATCCAACTTAAAATATTATTATATTAATAAAAATATTTTATTTAGTTTTAATTAAAATATTAAAAGTTTTGATATTTTAATTTTAAATATTTCTATTTTGTATATTATTAAATTTAAATATAAATATTTTTAATATTTCAATATGGAATAGTATTATTTAATAAAATGAATATTTGTATTATTTTAATAATATAGTATTAATATTCATAAAATATTAATATTATAATTTTAATAATGTAAATATAATATTAAAAATATAAATAATAGTATTAATATTATATTATATAATTTTGATAACAAATATTCATATAATAAATAATATTTATTATTTTAATAATTAAAAATATTTATTATTAATTAAATAATTTTTTAAAAAATAATTAAATAATAAAATTTTTTTTCCATTGATCCAAAAAAATAAATTTTTACTTTTTCAAAAAAAATTGACTGAAAATACTCTGATAATGAATTTAGAGTCCATCATCAATTTGTTTTGCAAACAGTCCCGACTATAAAACCAATACCCTTTTAAAACCCTAGTGCTTTTTAGTTTGCACGCACTCTTGACTGTCGCCGGATTCGCATGCGCTTTCTCTTCCCTCTCATTTTCTCATCCGTTTCCTCTGGTCACAATTTCTCCCCCTGCTTCACCTCCCGCCTCTTACGCGCCCTCTCAAGCAAACCCCAACCGTCAACCCTGACTACCTTTTTCAATTGGCAACTGCCACCGATGGCCGCACCCGAGGAATCGCTCCGCAAAGCTCTAGCAGAAAAGCAATTGGCTGTGGAAGCGCAGGGCAATGTGGTGAGAGCTCTGAAAGCTGCTAAGGCCTCGAAACCGGAAATCGACGCTGCAATCGAAGCCTTGAACAGCTTGAAGCTGGAGAAATCGTCGATTGAGAAGCAGCTACTGGCTTCTGTTAGTGGTAACGATGGTGATGGCGCGTTTAGCAGGGAAGCCTTCCGTCAAACCGCTGTGAATACTTTAGAACGGCGTTTGTTTTACATCCCGTCTTTTAAGATTTATCGGGGTGTTGCTGGGCTTTATGACTATGGGCCGCCCGGTTGCGCCGTTAAATCCAACGTTCTTGCTTTCTGGCGTCAGGTATGGTATGCTTATTGCTGTTGCAACTATAGAGATTTTTATTTCTTTCGACAGCAATTGTGAAGAATTAGGACAAATGCGGATGCTTGTTGAGTGGTTGATGTAAATTAAACTTGATTCAAATTGGAGCTGTTTCAGTTTCAATTATTTCAAAGCAAATGGAAGCCATTTTGGTAGTAAATACTTGCATAGTTGCATTGATGTAAGTTCATAATGGACAATTATATTCTAAACTCAAAACAGCTCCAATTTAGCTTGTTTGAATTACCTTCTTTTTTTCAGCACTTTGTCCTTGAGGAGAACATGTTGGAGGTTGACTGTCCCTGTGTGACACCTGAGGTTGTCCTAAAGGCATCTGGTCATGTAGATAAATTTACTGACCTTATGGTTAAGGATGAAAAAACTGGGACCTGCTATCGGGCTGATCACTTGCTTAAGGACTTCTGCAATGAGAAGCTTCAAAAAGAC